TGCAGACCTGTTATGCTAGGCTGCTCAGGAGATACTGTACTTGCACTGTCTGATTTAACCCACAAAAACCAAGATGGGTATTACTTGTCATGTCCTTATCCCCAGCACCTAGTTTAAATACCGGAATGATCAGTGGAACCTTCGAATTACTAGGGCCACCGATGCTTCCTCTGAGTTTTATGAAAATTGATTCTTTTGCCTGGAATTTCATAATCTCCAGACTGTTCAGGAGATATGAGAAGGTCAAAGACTGTTGATTCACTTCCTCCCATTCCGACACGGGCAGGTGCTCCACCACACACGCCCCCTGAGCTCTCTTGAGAGGAGAGGCTGGTAGCTCTGTTTTCTAGTGCAGGGGGCCAAGCCCGACCTTCCCTGGGTGAGTCCCTGGGGACTGGACTGGAACTCCAGCCCGGCCGTGGGTCCAGACGTGTGTACACCCGGAAAGGTCCTTGTTACGAGACATAATCCAGACCACTCGCCTTGACCCTTGCCTAGGGGTGACATAAACAAGTTCAGGATGTTCTGAGAAGGAGGCATGGTCAGGAGAATGCTGTGTTTCTGCCTCATCTTTTTCTAGGCGTTTCTTTCCTTTCTCCCCTGCCCTGCTTGGGAAGCATGTACTCCTACAGAGAAGGAGCAGGCTCCCTCTCCAAAGGCCAGCTCTCTTTGGCCCTTGGGGGGCGCGTGTGCTGCCCACTTCGAGGGGGCCTGGCTGGCTGAGCCACCCTGGGTGTGGTTTCCTCCATCAGGTACTCACGTGGGTGGGATAGGCCTGAGAGCTGGTTGCTCATGGCCCAGAGAATGGTGTGCATGCAGCCCCTAGCTAGCCTGGCTGGCCACATGAGCTCACCTACCCTCTTTGAGCATTATGCTCAGGGTCCCCATGAAGGAATTCCTGCCTTGGAAGTTGATCTTACACACTTCAGAGGGAAAATACACATGCGGATACCTAGCACATGTCAGGTACACAGAGGATACCTGACATTTGCTACTTGGTAATTTGCAAAGCCAGAATTGGAGCCCGGGTCTCTGACATCAGGACTCGGAACTGGACTGGTTGCCGTGTGGCTGCTGTGCTGCAAGATAGGCTGCACCGAACGTGACAAGCAGGTCCAGACCCTCACCAGCGGGAAGCCAGCCCCAGAAGGAAGGAAGGAGGAGGAACCGGCGGGTGGATTAGCTCGGGGGCGGCTGAGCGGGAAGCAAGTGGGGCCGTACTCCCCCGTCACGCACAGATTCACTCAGGTGTTTGCATGGCTACGGAGTCCTTGTCTTGAGTAGCAGAACAGGGATGAACTCAGTGATGGGGGTTCAGTGACAAGATGGAGCCCTTGACCATTTTCTAAGGCCCAATCCTGGGGTCTGGAGAAGGATTCCAGCAGAGAGGTTAGGATGAAAGTGGGGTCACTGCTGCCCAGCGGGAGGGGTAATGGGGAAGGAGAGTCAGAATCTAGGGCTGTGGCCGGGAAAGGGAGAAGGGTGGAAGGGGCTTTGGGTGGGGCTTAGCATAAAGAGCTCGAGTGGGGGCCGTCTGTCCCCTGAGACAGCTGAGCCAGCGGCTGTCAGCGTCCCTGACATCACAGCTGCCTGCCACCCACGCCTGGCAGGTCCCTGGGGCCTTGTCATTTGCAAAGCCTGTCCCCCACAGAGCCCTCCCTTGACTGCCCCTTGGTCTGGGCCTGGTAGGCAGAGCAGGGTCTGGGAGTTGTTCTTTAAAGGTGAGCACAAGCTCCACGGGTCACCATGTGACTGTCCTTCACTTTCGGATCGAGTGTCTGCCATGGGCCAGGTGCTGGGCTCGGGGCTGGAGGTACAGCAGTGAGCACAGGTGTGGTGCTCTCTCCACACAGAGTGGCACCAGCCACCTGCCCACGAGATCCTGGTGGTGGGGAATGAGGTGATCACCCTGAAACGACCACCAGAGTCATACCTAGCGTAGACCTTCAGGCCTGAATGCATGTAAATGCATAGGATTCCAGGGGGTGAGGGGGTGAGGCGTAGGGGGCAGGGGTGCTACTTTATATAGGATGGTCAGGCAAGGTCTCTTTAATGAAGTTCACTTGAGCAGAGTCCTGAAAAAGCAGGAGTGAGTTGTATGCATATCTAGAGGAAGGCCTTTCTGCACAGGGGGCTGGGGAGCACATGTGCAAAGGCCCTCGGGCGGACTTGGTCAGTCAGTGTATTTGAGGAACAGTGGAGAGGCTGAAACGGAGCACGGTGAAGATGTGGTTGACGGGCCTGGGGGTTATCTTGAAGTTGTGGTGAAAGCACTGGGGTGAGCTGAGGCCCCACCAGAGGGATCTGGCAGAGGAAGCCAACCCCAAACCTGAGTCTGCCAATTTCAAGTCTAGTGCCCGTTCCACTGAACCGCCCCTTGTCACCCAGCTGGGAGGGCTTTATTTTGCCACTCTGTCATTATTGCCATAGCTACTGTGCTGCCATGGCAGTGAACTTGGAGGTGAGAGGTCCTGCAGGAGCTGCTGCTGGGGGAGGGCGGGGGGAGGAAGCTGTTGGGAGAAACTGCTCGTGCCTGTGGTTTGTGCCCCCCACCCCCTCAGGTTTCACTGAGTCACCTCCAATCCCAGAACATCTAGAGAGGCTGGGGTGGGTCAGCACCACCTGCCACCTTAGATTAGAAAAAGGAAAAGGAAGAGCGACTGGATTTTAATCGGTCTAAGTTCAGATTAGCACACCTAGACCCTTCCTGTTTTTACGGATCATTAGCTATAGGGGAGAAGAGGAGCACGTGTGCCGCAGATTGTAAGAGAATACGGGGAGCACATAAAAAAGATACGCTGCTATAGATGAGAGGATCTCAGCGTGTTAAGGCTGTTACACTTTAAGGCTGTCTTGTCCAGACTGACGCACAACAGTGTATGTACTTAATGCTATTGGGCTGAACACTAAAAATGGTTAAAATGGGAAAGTGTATCTTACATATATTGTACCACCACCACCACCACAAGACTGCCTTGTCCAACACTCCTGTTTAAGGTGGAGAAACAGAGACTGAGGGACTCACCCACAGCCACACAGCAGGTGGGAGATGTAGTCTGGCCTGCTGTCAGCGCCCCCAGCTCCTCCTCAGCACCTTTGCAGGGGCCACACCGTTTCTGGCTCATGGGCAGAAGTGAGTGAAGGGAAGCAGGTCTTCGGAACTCCTGTAATCCAAATGTGAGATGGAGGAACCAGCCCCAGATTTGATGAGACCTGCTACAGCACGCTCCCCACGGCTCTCCTTGTTTCATGAGAGCCCCACCGCCTGTCCACGGCTCTCTGAGTAGCTGTGGTGGTCATCCTGGGAGGCTCGAGGAAGAGAAACTGCAGTGGATAGTCTGAGCTCAAGCTGTGACCTGGGCTAAGACCCCACTGGGGCTTTTCCAAACACTTGTTCTTTGCTACTTTGAGCCTGGTGACATCTCAGGGCAGCAGGATAGGTGCCTCACTGGGCACTTCCAAGGTGGAGGAAGCAGCTGATGCAAAAGATGCAGACCTTGTAGGTGCTACCATGAGGTCGTAACCCCAGCCCCAGCCCCCTCCCTGTCCCGTTTCCCTTAGAGGCAAGCCTCAAGCAGTGCAGTGTAATGCGATTCACTGAGTTTAGGGATCTAGATCTAGATCTGATGTCTAGAAGGGGCTCGGTAAGTAAGGTTTGTCTGTTCAAGTGACTGAATGGGCCCCTGCATTGGCAGTGTTCTGCCAGGGGAGTAGAGGAAGATTCCAGTCTTAAGCACCCACAGGTAGTATTTTCTAACTTTCCATCCAAAGGCGTTACCTGTTTCCTCAGCAGGGCAAGGAAGCAGGAGTTCTCAGAAGGCCCCTGGGCAGGAGCTTGGTGTGCTGGGTAGGGATCAGCCCTCAGTCTTGGAATGCGTCACTTTGTGTCCTGGTTCCCAGCTCCATTCCCTGGAAACTAGGTACAGTTATAAGGATGGAACTCATTTCCAAAAGTATTTACTAAGCATGTATTTGTTTTATACCCTGTGATGATATCAAGTCCTACCATGTTAAGATGAGTGCCAGGGACTCAGAACTTAGTGTGGGGTTTCTCCACCCGTCTCCCCCAGCACACCCAGGAAATTGCTGCATTCCTGCCAGCCAGCTCAGTGGTCCTGACATGGTGGGGGGCAGGGGTGGGGGAGATTGCCACACACACCCATGTGAGAAATCACAAGCACATATGCAGTGGCACAGGTAGAGGAGACAGGTAAACAAGTCAGGTAGGGACCAGGTCATGGACCAGGCCCTGGGTGTGTGATGGGCAGGACAGGAGGCAACTTGAGTACAAAATCTTGGAAGGAAGATGGGCTTGCTGGGAGGATGTTGGCCTTGGAAGGGCAGGAGATGGGCATGTATTCATGTTGGAATATTCCCTGGCTCTGCCTGTGTCTTACACAGAGGCAGCTCAGTATAGTGGAAGGAGCAACACGGTTGACTTAGGAAGGTATGGGTTTTCACAGCTAAGAGACTGGAAAAGTTTCTTAAACTCTTTGAGCCTCAATGTTCTTATTAGTAAGATGGGTTTGTGCAATCCTCCATGTCTACCAAAAGGAGTGTTGTGAAGCCGAAATGCAATGAGGAGAGGTTCCTCACAGACTGTGTTATATCATGTGAGCCAAAAGTTTGCCAGAAGTTGTAGATAGAGCTGCTGGTTGGTCCTGTGCTCAAATTCTGTGAATCTCTGTCATTACCCAGATGTGACTGAGAAAATTAATCTCTTTCCCTCCTCACTAAGATGGGGTGACAAAAACGTTATTTATGGTTTTTTTACTTGCTGAAGGCTTGAGGTCCCTAATGGATCCCAAACTTCATGCAAAGTCCCAAATGTCATGTGCTATGTCCCCAGCGCTGGAATAGTGTCTGGTACCTAGAAGGTGCTCAGGAAGTAAGGTTTGTCTGGCCAAGTGAATGAATGGGTGAATGAATGAGGAGTCCGGGAACATTAAAGCAGGAGCAGCGCTATCGAGACGGAGCTCACGTCTTCCTCCTTCTTGCAGGACTCGGGTCAAGCTGGAAAGCCTGGAGGATGCCTACATTCTGCGGGGAGGCGACGACTCCCTCTCCGACAAGCATGGCTGCCCCGCGTACGTGAGCCCGGAGATCCTGAACACCAGCGGCAGCTACTCGGGCAAAGCGGCCGACGTGTGGAGCCTGGGCGTGATGCTCTACACCATGCTGGTAGGGCGGTACCCTTTCCATGACATTGAGCCCAGTTCCCTGTTCAGCAAGATCCGGCGTGGCCAGTTCAACATTCCAGAGACCCTGTCACCCAAGGCCAAGTGCCTCATCCGAAGCATCCTGCGGCGGGAGCCCTCAGAGCGGCTGACCTCGCAGGAAATTCTGGACCATCCTTGGTTTTCTACAGATTTTAGCGTCTCGAATTCAGGATATGGTGCTAAGGAAGTGTCTGATCAGCTGGTGCCGGACGTCAACATGGAAGAGAACTTGGACCCTTTCTTTAACTGAGCTCATGCCTCACGGGGACCGAGCAAGTACCAGGAGTGGGAGGGGAGCAGAAGGGAGTTCTTCCAGGAAACACGTATCACCTGGCGTGGCAGCAACAAGGACACTGACACTCACACGGTTCTTGGTTCAAAGAAGGAAAACCTTCAAGGAGCTGACTGAACATGTAGCATGGGGACAAGAGTTATGGGACAGGGGTCGGGACCCGGGTCTGGTTGGCTGGATGGGAGCCTCCTGAAGCTTCTCCTCCTTGATGTAGACCCCGGAGGCCACCCATCAATTGGGCCATTTCCACCTACCCCACTTTCCGTTTTGTTCAAAAATAGCTACAGACCCTGACAGAATCAGAACTCTCTGCCTCAAACACACATCTTGGCATCGCACTGTTAGCGTTTAACTTCTTGTTATGATTCAGGGAAGGTACAATTGGCCAAGGATTTTTTTTTTTCCGTTTCAAATAAGCCAACCACCTGTCTGATAATTAATGGGGTTCATTAAAAAAAAAAATTCGGTGCACACAGACCGACATGAAACCTGGGTGCTAAACTAAAAGGAAATAAAAATCCAGTTTGTGTCTCTTAATTGCGCTCTTCAACTCATTTCTTCGAAATAAACCATTTAATAGCCTGGTCAGGAAATGACAGGTCAATGCTTTGCTCCCTGAAGGGGGGGAAAAAAAATCTGTCATTTAACGAGATATTCTGTTTTGTGTCAAATGGTTTGTGGCAAGAAGCTATGAGAAGTCAAACTTCTAGATGCATTTTTTACTGCTATCGTAGTTTAAAGAAAGGAAAGAAGGGCAGAAAAAGAAAAAAGAGAAATTGAACTCAAGTTTTTCCTTTGAGTGGCAAGGGCTGCCGAGACGAAAGCAGCGGCTTGAGAGAGTGGGGCACTGCAACATCGCTTTCAACATTCTGTCTTTGTTTTACTGAAAACTAGTGAAACAAAGCAGGTTGTCCCACATGTATAAAATACAGGGCAGCTATTTAGTTTTCCTTACGAAGAATGATTCTTTTGGCTTCGGAGGCCCTCTGGTTTGGACAAAAACCCTCAGTAGAGACAAGTGGGAAGGAAAACAAGCTGAAAGCTGGGGCGATATAAATAAAAACAGCTCTCTATCCCAATACGCACCTTTGTATTTTCAAGAACTGTTCTATTTATTAAGGAAAATGTCACATTGTGATGTATTAAGCCAGTACTTCAATTACGGGTTGACTTGGGGTGACATGTTACATGCTGTAGTTAACATTTATATATATATTTTTTTCTTGTTTGAGTATTTCTGTCCCTGAAATAATCTCTTCTTTGGCTTTCCTAGATAGCTTGATTTGATTTCGAGTGGCAAATGTTTTCTTCTTATGGCTTTTCTATTGCTGTATGATACAGAACTCTTTTGGCATAAATATTTGTGTTTCCAGTACCTCAGTTGGATTTTACTGCCTGTACACGTTTTGTGAAATGGTCATGTTTTTGGGTAGGTAACACGTGGACTCTAGGATGTAAATGTTACTTGAATCTGTGCTTCACTAGAATATGTGGCATGTATGTGCAGACCCTGGATGTTTCTGCCTGCTCAGCAGGAGCCCGGCCTTCGCATTCCCAGGAGGGCGGCTGAACCGTTTCAGAGTCGGGAGACAAGGCGGCCATGGATTTGCCCATGATTCTGTTTTGATAATGGCAAATGTAAAGGAGAGAGGTTTTTTTACATTCTGAAGATGGTGCTGTGTCAAGAAGGACCTGTTTTTCTCCCCTCTTCCCTATTTTTTAACTATCCGGTAGGAGGAAAGAGCGGTGACATGCATGGTGGGGATCCATGGCCTCTGGTGCTTTGTCCTGTATTTGGTTGAATGTTTTTGTCCTAATCTCTTCAATCAATAAAATTGTGCGTATTTAACTAAAATTCTGGCGTTCTGCAAATGCTGATTCTCTCCCATCTGTGGTTTGTGGGCACCGCCTGCCCCCCAGCCAGGAACTCATCCATTGTCTGAGGTCTTCACTCTTTTAAGAGCACTGCTACTATGTACACAAAACAAAAGCTATGTGTGTTGTGTCTGAGTCTGTGCTGGCCGGTGTAGGTGAACTATCTCACTGAGTTCATGTCCACCCTCTTGGGAGGTGTGAACTTCATTCCTGGCACAGATGAACTAAGCCCAGAAAGGTGCTCGAGTTGCCTGAGGTTTAAGCACTTGTAAGCGAGAGAGAGTCAAGAATGGACCCCAAGTCGTTGAATCCCCAAGCTGGTTACTCTATGATGTTAGAGCCCAGAGGTTCTTGCGGCAAGTATAATAATAGCTCTGGGTTGCCAGGTTTGCCTGGGACTCAGGTAATGCAGCCTTCTACACGATTCCCCAGGAGAAGGAGCATCGACTACAAACCGGGTTGGAAGCCTCCAAGGAGGAGGCCACCGAGTACTCTGAAACCAGTGTCCACCAGCAGCTTTTCTCAGTCAGATTCACTGAGTGCCAGAGCTAGGTGGGCTCTGTCAGCAGTCCCATCTGCCATGTACCTCATTTAACAGAAGTATCCACCGCACAGAGAGGGGCAGTTCTATCCTGAAATGCTTAGTGACTGTCATTTCAGCGCAGGCTGCAGAAACAGACGTGGCAACAAAGGTGTTGGGCAGAATCAAGCGTGGGGTAAACACAGTCATGGAGCCCCATAGGAATGGTCCCCCCATCCACCCACAGCACTTGTCTGAATCTGTCAGGAGGTATCCAGGGTGGGGTGGCAGCTGAATTAGCCCAGAGAACTGGCTTTAGGTATGAAGAAAGAGATGGGCAGCAGTACTTCAGGCAGGGGAAGACCAGGACGTGGCTAAAGCAGAGGCTTTCTGGCCAACTGGACCAGACGTCCAAAGTCCCCAAGTGCTGCTCATCCACGTCACCTTGGTATCCCCAGCAGCGCCTGACCCAGTGCCCGGCAGGTGGACCGTGTGCAGTTAACAACTGTTAACTGGTGTATGTAATTTATGTGTGGAAATTTACTTCCGATCCCAGGTTTCTAAGAAGCGCATCGTTAAAAACAGCCTGTGCGGGTACTGAAGCCCACCAGTGGCTTTTGCTAGGGTACAGATAGGCTGATTCAATTTCTTTGCTCTTTCACTGCCTGTTCATTAAGCAGAAATGGGCCTGCTGCCTAATGAGTGCCTGCTTGAGTTCTGTTCTGTCAAACCTTTGCATGTGTGGTCGAAGGGAGGGGGTCGTTGGCACACACACTTCCAGCCTCTCTGTAATGAGCTTCCACCCCGGTGAGAACGCAGAGAATCAGCAAGCTCCCTCCCTGTCAGTGTCTCAAGGCTTAGCCAGCAGAAATCTTTTATTCTCGAATCCCTGTGGGGAGAGGGCCTTCACCCCTTGCTACTTAATCTGGATCTGGAGCAGGCAAGTGGCCTGGGCCCCTGGGAGTGAGGGCAGCGGCTGGGGGAAGTGGCATGCCTGGGCTCTGAGTCTTTAGTCTCAGTATTAGCTGTGACCCAGCAAAACACTTAACTTTTATAAGGACCAAGGGTGGAGGATTAACAGCTAGGGCTTGTCAAGGGCTTAGTCCTGTCCCATGCTGGAGTAGTGACTGTCACCCTCGTCAGTCCAGGGAGTAACAGGGCAGAGTTATTTCAAATGGGGGATAGTCTGGGACCGAGACTTGACTACATGCAATCAAGGACAGGGGCCAGGGACTCACTGAGGTCCACCCACTAACCAAAGCAACTCCACTTTCACAGTTTTACATTTGTTGTTCAGATGTAGACTTACAGGCACAAAGATGAAGAGGTAAAGGGCCGGCTGCTAGATACATTTGAAAACTACTGGTGAAGTCCAACTCTTGATAAAGCAACCAAAGTCCAGAGGAACCCAGGGCATTCCCACAGCCACCCCGAGAGCAGGTAATGGGCCCTAAACTGGGGGCCTAAGGGGCAAGAGCTTTGTAAGTGGGAAGCCCTACATGAACTTTGGAGGTTTTGTTATCACCCACCCCCTCTGCCTCCGGCCTTACGTCCTTTCCAGGGTGGTCTTCTTTCCTGTTCCAGTCCTTCTCTTCAGTGATGAGCTCCGTGACCAATCTTTAATGGGTGTCAGATGATGATCTGCAAGAATTATCAAATGTCTAAACCAAAGTGTTCTTACTCATCATCTATCTATGCCTTCTAGATGCTCTCATTTATGCAAGTCTTACAATTGCTCTGTGTGGCAATAGCAGACAAGGGCCAGGTAACTCAACATGGAGATGGAGTCCCCAGCTGAGCCCGTGGTTGAGCCCTGCTGGGTCTGTGTAATTCCTGTGCTGTGAGTCCTCAGTATATACGGTATATACGTGCTGTCATGCAGTGAAGCAAACGTGAAACAAAGACCTGGCCTAAGAGCCGAAGGGAAGGAGGAAACAGGAACCAACATCTATTTAATCCATTGATAAACTTTTCAAGGTAGGTAGTAAGTTTTACAAATGTGTAAAGTGGCCTTGGACTAAGTTAATTGAAGGATGCTATCCAGTTAGCATCGAAGCCCTTTTGAACCCTGGTTCCAATCTCTAAAGTCACGCCATGCCATGCTGCTAAAGGAGACGCTGATGCCCCTCAGCATGGATACCTAAACACTAAAACTTGGGAGCTGTGACCAGGACCCCCCTCCCACCTACCCTGAGAATGTTCTCTGCAGCTCCCAGAGGCAAGGGACTAGAGGGAGGGGAGTGTATCATCAAAGCTAACGGAAGTTCTCACCTTTCCTGGCCTGAATCACAATTCACCTGCTTTTGGAAGGAAGCCTTTGCATACCTGAACCCCCTTCCTTCCAAGAGAAACTTCTCATCACCCAGGCTGTTGATGCTTTTGAAGCTCGGGCATCTAGATGTAATGAGAAGTGAACAAGTTCGAGATGAGAAGATCTGAGTTCACAGGCCCATTCTGCCACTTGTTTCCTGAGTGAGCTGTGGCAAATCATGTCACTTGCAGAGCCTCAGTTTTCTCATGAGAAATGGGAACAAAGGGCTTTTTGTGAGGATAATAGATTTTATGTAAGTTTCCAGATTATTATGTACATTCTAAAGTAGTCTCTGTAAATGCTGTTACAGGGACAAATGGCCTAGCAAATACTACATCTTTAAGGTACCAAAATTAAGATTCCAAGTTGGACTTAAGGGTGAAGGCAAAATAGGACTCAACTAGGTGAGTCAGCCTCCAGTGAGGGATGAGCCCTGGGGTTCCCCACCTCAAGGTGCAGCTGCTACCCCAAGTGGGGCTCTTCCTCCAAGTCCCCTCAGAGCTCCTGAGCCAAGAGCCAGGCCCTGAGACCTCAGCTGAGGGGGAGAAGCAGGTAGAGATGGAGGGGAGCACCAGAGAAAGGAGCCTGGGCCATCAGGCCGAGCCTCCCCAGCTGTTTGTTTCTGACCTTAACCTTACAGACCCTTGGCCCAGACCACGCCTCCTAGAACCCCCAAGGTGTCATGCCAGCCCTGCTTCATTCACCTTGTGGTGAGCTGTCAACACCCTACCTGGAGGCCCAGTGGACCCTGTGCATTCTTCTCTGACGTGGGGGTGGGAGATATGGCCACATACGTTTTACTTTGAAGATGATGTCCTTGACACTGGGTCTTAAGAAACATTGGTGAAGGGGCAGGGCCCTGAATCTTCACAGAGTTCTCTCCCATCCTTTAATTATGCCCATCTTAATCAAGTCAGTCAACTCTTGCTCATCCTTGCTGGTCAGCATAATGTTATCAGTGTACTGGATCGATGTGATGCTTTGTGCATATCCAGGTGGCCCAGCTCTCTTCAGATTATGTTGTGAAAGATGCACAGCTCTGGGCATATTGGCTGATATGTACTAGGTCCATTCCATGTCAGCACAAACTTTTTTTTTTAATCTTTCATAATTTGAGTAAAAAAGCTTGCATTTAGCAAAGCAGTGGCCACCTAGCCCGTACCTGAGGCCATCCTAATCTGCTCTAGCAATGATACCATATCTGGTGAAGCTGACGGTCGGCCGAGCTTGTGGCAGTCTACTGGCACTCAGGGTCCATCTGGTTTCTGCAGGAAGCAAACTTCTGTATACATGAGAATCTGAGAAGGACCTTGACTCCTTCACCCTTCAGACTCCTTCGGGTGGCACTAAACACCACCATCCGCCTGAGGATGTGATATTGTTTTCTAATTGCTGTCCTGACTGGGGGTGAGGTAGGTGGGTCACTGTTTCAGAGGACTCGTTCGGCCTTCATTACTATGCTAGTCTCATCCCACAGGTCAAGGGCCCAGGTTGGGAGTTAATACAACTGCTAAGTATGTCAAACTCGATCACACATTTGGGGAATAGGGAAATGATAGTTGGGTATGTCTGCAGACCCAGTGGATCCCCTGTGAGGTGGGCAAGGGTGCTATTTATCACTCGGCCCCCTCTGTCTCCACTCTGATATGGGTTTCTGGGTATCAGTGTCAATCCTACTCTGTGTCTACAGGTCCTTGACGTGTCTGGATTTCTTCAGCAACAGTCATCCAAGTCAGTAGCTATAGTTCCCTTTGGGAAAGAACTGAGGACTCGTTACTGTATATAGTTGTGGCCTTGCAGAGTCCTGTTCTACTGAGAGGCCAGCTGCCTTTAATGTCAGTGGGTCTGGGTCAGAAAAACTTACTTCTTACCTTGTCTGGAACCTGGACAAAGTACAGGGCATCTTACCAGAGTCACTGTATCGCTTTCAGTCCCCGATCATCATTCCTTCTTTCTTTTTAACGCCTTGTGGACATCATGGTATTTGTGGTTTTCTATTTTTGGCAGTTAGTCATCAACACCTTACCTCTGCTGCTTCAGGGCCCCACCAGCCCACCGCTCTCTGTAAGCCGCCTCCAGAACAGCCTGTCTTCCTTAGCAGTGACCTCTAGAAAGGAGCCATGAACTTAGTGATGTCTATTGCCAGTAC